TGGAAATGTAAAATGATGCAGCCACTCTGGAAAGCAATTTCCCAGCTTTCCTTTTCTTTTTCCTCTCTGTTTTAGATCCAGGGACAGACTGGATCTCAGTTTCTTAAAACAAACAAACAAATTAAACACATATACTTACCATAGGATCCAATTGCACTCCTGGGTGTTTATCTCAGATTAATGAAAGCTACATCCAAATAAAAACATAAGCTGGCGTGGTGACTCACGCATGTAATCCCAGCACTTCGGGAGCCTGAGTTGGCAAGTCATTTGAGGTCAGGAGTTCGAGATCAGCCTGGTCAACATGGTGAAACGCTGTCTCTACTAAAAATACAAAAATTAGCCAGGCATGGTGGCACGTGCCTGTAATCCTAGCTACTCGGGAGGCTGAGGCAAGATAATTGCTTGAACCCAGGAAGCGGATGTTGCAGTAAGTTGAGATCATGCCACTGCACTCCAGCCTGAGTGACAGAGCAAGACTCAGTCTCAACAACAGCAACAAAAAACAAATAAAAACATGTACATGAACGTTCATAGCAGTTTTGTGATAGCACCAAATTGGAAACAACCGGAAAGTCCTTCAATGGATCCATGGGTAAACAAATATGGTACCTGAGTACCATGAATTACCACTCAGCAATAAAAAGGAACAAACTATTGATATATGCAATTTGGACGAATCTCAAGGGAATTATGCAGAGTGAAAAGAAGCAAATCTCAAAAGGCTTCATAATGTATGATTCCATTTATATAACATTCTCAAACGACAAAATTACAGATGGAGAACAAAGTAGTGGTTGCCAGGAGTCGGAGATAGAGTCGGGGGAGGGGCTGGAGCTGCCATGACTGTAAAGGGGCAACATGAGGGATCTCTGTGATGATGGAGCAATTTTATATCTATTTTTATTTGTTTATTGATCTTTTTTTAGAGACAGGATATCATTCTGTGGCCTAGGCTGGAGAGCAGTGGCACAATCAGAGCTCACTGTAGCCTCAAATTCCTGGGCTCAAGTGATCCTCCTACCTCAGCCTTCCAAGTAGCTGGGACTACAGGAATCGCCACCATGCCTGGCTAATTTTTTAAAAAAAGTTTGTAGGGAAGGGGTCTCCCTATGTTGACCAGGCTGGTCTCCAACTCCTGGGCTCAAGCAATCCTCCTGCTTCAGCCTCCCAAAGTGCCAGAATTACAGTTGTGAGCTACCATGCCTGGCTTATTTTTATATCTTGATTGCAGTGGTATTTACACAAATCTACATGTGGTAAAATTGCATAGAATGACACATATATAAATGAATGCATATAAAACCCATGAAATCTGAATAATGTCTGTGGATCATACCAATATTAATTTCTTGGTTTTGATAGTGTGCTATAGTTACATGTTACTACCGGGGGAAATTAAGGGTACACAAGCTCTCTCTGCACTAATTTTCCATTTCCTGTTAATTTATTTCAAATTTTTAAAAATCAGATTTTGAGTCATGATAATAAAGGCTTCTTCTCTCCATTATTATAAAAGAATTTACCCATAGTTTTCTTCTGGTTATTTTCATTTTCTAGGCATTTTGAAACTTTTATTGGGTTAAAACAGAAAGACTCTGGGCCAGGTGCAATAGCTCACACCTGTAATCCCAGCACTTTGGGAGGCCGAGGCAGGTGGATTACGAGGTCAAGAGATCGAGATCATCCTGGCCAACATGGTGAAACCCCGTCTCTATTAAAAATACAAAAATTAGCTGAGCGTGGTGGCGCATGCCTGTAATCCCAGCTACTCAGGAGGCTGAGGCAGGAGAATCACTTGAACCCGGGAGGCGGAGGTTGCAGCGAGCCGAGATTGTGCCACTGCACTCCAGCCTGGCGAAAGAGCAAGACTCCATCTCAAAGCGAAAACAAAACCAAAAAACAACAACAAACCCCAAAAGCCTCTGTACATAGAACTACCTACACAACAAATTCTCTTGGAAGTGCTATGTACTTCTTAAAAGCTCAACTGAGATAAACTCAGGCAAACCTGGTCACTGCCCAGCGATCCCTATATCATCCTCTCCTACACAAGTCAGAAGTGGGAGTAATCCTCAACAACTCCACTCCTTTATGTCCCAACACTCCATAGTCAGTCTTTCATTGGGTTGTGTCAATTTAACTTACTAAGTATCTCTTGAATATATTCACTTACCACCCTCTCTTCTTCCACCATAGTGGTCGAACTTACCATCAGGTCCTGCAGGACTACTGCAAGAATGAGCTGCTTCTGTATCCTATATCCATGCTTTGGGTATATCCTGCAAGCTTTTCAAAATGCAAATCTGATAACATCTCCCACCTGCCCATCCCCTCCTCCCCCACAGAAGGCATTTAAAAATACCCTTGATAGCTTCCCATTGGGTTTCATTGGATAAAGACCAGATTTTGGCTGGGCACGATGGCTCACACCTGTAATCTCTGCACTTTGGGAGGCCAAGGGGAGCGGATCGCTTGAGCCCAGGAGTTCAAGACCTGGGCAACATGGTGAAACCCTGTCTCTACAAAAAAAACAAAATACAAAAATCAGCAGGGTGTGGTGGCATGCACCTATAGTCTCAGCTACTTGGGAGGCTGAGGTGGGAGGATCGCTTGAACCCAGGAGGCAGAGCCAAAATCGCGAGACTGCACTCCAGCCTGGGCAACAGAGTAAGACCCTGACTAAAAAAAAAAAAAAAAGACCAAAATCTTAAAACGGCCTTAAAATGGACAGCACTGTATGATTTGGACCTTGTCTGTAACTATTGCTTTTGCCATCACTCCCTCCCTCAGCCCAGGTAAAAACTCTTCTACTTGGCTCTCCTCCATCCCATGATCTGTCTTTTGCTACACGGCCTTTGCATATTTCTTCTCAGGAATGTCCTCTACCTCCAACTTGGTTAATTTCAGTTCATTCTTTGGCTTACGACTTCTTTAGAGCAGCTTTGAGTCCCAGATAAAAACTTAGGTTTCTTACATATATGACAGTACATGGCCTCATAGGACTGTATTCTTTCTTTCAAAGCATTTCTAAATTTATACATTAATTAGCATCAGGATTTGCTTAATATCTGTGCCCTTCATTAAACCGTCAGTTTCATGAAAACTATGGCTATGTCTCTTTTGGCTTAGTATTGTATCTTTATTGCTTATTACAATGCCTGGCATGCAGCAAACATGTAGAAATACACTTGTTTGATGACTGAATTAAGGACCAGGGTTCTAATCCAGGTCTGCAATTTTCCAGATGTGTTAAGTTGGACAGATTACTTAACTTCTCCGAACTGGTTCTTCATAGGTAAAATGGGCATCTCTGTTCCCTAGGAAGCAGGGCCTAAGACAAAGGCTTTTGTGCTTTATTAGGGTGTGCAACAGCTGGGAGCAGAAGCAAGTGGAGGGGAGTGAGGAGCGAAGGGGTTGTTGAGCTTGCCAGAGCTAAATGCTACTGAGAATTTGTATAAATGATCTCAGAACAGTCTATGTGAGGAAAGCAAGGGGTCCTGTTATCCACCTGCTTGAAGTGCTTACTCCCCCACACTTGTAGGTGGGCATGGAGGTGCTGTCAGACTGCACTGCATGAGATGGTTGCAGTCCATGTGGAGTTGGTCAGCACAGCAGCAGCACCTAACCTGCAGGGTTCTGGTGGGGGTTACTGGAGACCGTGCCTGGCACATCTTAGTAGGCAATAAACAAACACTCATGGCCGGGCGCAGTGGCTCATGCCTGTAATCCCAGCACTTTGGGAGGCTGAGGCTGGTGGATTGCCTGAGGTCAGGAGTTCACGACCAGTCTGTCCAACATTGTGAAACTCCGTCTCTACTAAAAGTACAAAAAAAAGTTAGCTGGGCATGGTGGCGCGTGCCTGTAATCCCAGCTACTCGGGAGGCTGAGGCAGGGGAATTGCTTGAACCAAGAGGTGGAGGTTGCAGTGAGCCGAGATCACGCCACTGCACTCCAGCCTGGGCGACAGAGTGAGACTGTCTCAAAAATAAATAAATAAATAAATAAATACTCATTGTTATAATTAGGAATATTCTCATTCCTAAAATTCCTTCTTTTTTCTTTCCTGTTCCTGAAATATCCTTTCTTCCCCTTCCTTCCTGTTTTTAAAATATCTCCTTCCTTCCTTCCCTCCTTTCTTCCTTTCCTTCCTTCTTTCTTCCCTCCCTTCCTCCCCAGCTGCCCTCCACCCCCACCCATCATTCACTCTAATTGAAAAAGAAGCTGCATAGACTTTTATGACCTAATCTGAGAAGTGACACATAGTCATGTTGGCCACATTCTGTTCATTTCAAGACAGTCGCTAACTCTGGCCCACACTCAAGGGGAGGAAAATTAGGCTTCATATTTTGAGGGGAGGAGTATCAGAGGATTTGCTGGCATTAAAACCTTGAGGGGAGAAAGGAGAACAACTGGGTGAACAGGGGCAGAGCTGGGAGGGAGATTTTCACTACACACGTCTTTGTACTCTTTGAACTACATACTTGACTATATTAGTCAAGTAATTTTTTTTTTGTTTTTGAGACAGGGTCTTGTTCTGTCTCCCAGGCTGGTATGCAGTGGCGCGATCACCCTCATGGCAGCCTCAAATTCTGGGCCCAAGTGGTTCTCCTGCCTCAGCCTCCTGAGGACCTGAGACTACAGATGTGGGCCACAACTCCTGGTTAACTTTTTTCAAATAATAAATTCATCACATTTATTTTAGAAAGAAACATTTCAAGCTACAATATTTGGTAAAATCAGAAAAGAGATGTAGAAAAAAAGTCAAAAGAGGGTGTGAATGGGAGAAATTGGTTGAGGTGAAATCGACCTTCGCCCAGACAGGTGGGAAAAAGGGAAGGTCTACTTGGTGCTCCCCCTGGACCCTCTCTTCCCCTCATTTAGCACTGTCACTTTCCAGGGCATGCGATGGTAGGCAGCAGCAGTTCTGGATAATGGATTTGTGGAAAGAGAAGAACCCATCTAAACCACTCTTTAGCCACAGCCCACGATCACTTTTTTTTTTTTAATTTTTATTTTTTGCTTTGCTGTTGTTCCACTCTGTCCATACATTGTTTAATACAGGATGGCACACAATGCCATTCCTGATTGTTTCACTTATAAGCGCCACCCTCTACTCCTCCAACTCCTGACTCAGGTTTGACAGCTATTTTTTAACGTAATTTGCGTACGCCGAGAGGATTTCACTTAGTAACTACACGGAGAGAGATCTGATGCGTACAAAGACGTGGCATGAAACCCTGCAGGTTTATTGTCTCTATAAAAAGATCGTTAAGGTTGAGCGTGCTAACGTGTGCGGCACTAACTGTACTCACTACGCCCTGGTCACTTTATAGCAGAAGTCCAAGGCAAGAAAAGAAGTTTTACAAACAAAACTGGTCAATTGTTCTATCTTCTTACTCCTGGAAAACACTAAAGGTCCACTTTCAAACCATTTGGACGCACTTGCTTCTTCTAAAGGGTTACGGAGTCCCGGCAGAAAGCGCGCCCCTCCTCTCCCAGTAGCCGCGAGCGAAGCGCTTCCTGCCACTCCTGCGGACCCCGGAGTCCAAATGGGACCCCTTCCACACGGCCGCGGAGCCGCCTCCGAAGACGGCGGTGTCTGAGGCGCGGAGGGCAAGGCTGGAGGCTGAGTGGGGTCCACCTTCACGTGGCCCAGGCTCTTCCGATTCGTGGGGGGCCCCACCAGGTTCAGGCTCCAGCCCTGGGTAGTGAAGGCAAAACGGGGAGCGGAAGGAGGGAGGGCACGTCACGGGAGCGGGACTACAGGACCGCGGGTCAGGGGGCGCAGGAACTACAAGGAAAAGACAAGTACCAAGGGCCAGGAAGGGTGTAGGCGGCAGTGCCAGAGGATCCCCGCCCGCCGGGTCCGGCCGCCGGGTCCCCGCCCGCCGCTTCCGGCGTCTCCCGGCCCAGTTCTTCCGCGCCGACTCTGCCACATCCTCCGGTGACGTCAGCCGGGGCCGCCATATTGGAAAGGCGCCGCCGCCGCCTCCGTTTCGGAGCTCGGGCTGTTTCGGGGGCCGCGGCCGCACGCAGGAAGGCGCCCCTCTCCTGCTCCGCCGACGCCCGGCCAGCCCGCTTCGCCCTGACCTGTCTCCTCATGACTGCCCCCGGCCCTGCTGCCGACGGACGTCGCCCCGGCGTCCGGATTTAACACGGAAACCCGGGTCGGAGGCCGCGCGGGGAGGAGGAGGGCGAGCCGGTCGGTCCCGCGTCCCTCTCGGCCCGGCTCGGCGCCTCGGCGGGAGCCATGACCTCGCTGACCCAGCGCAGCTCGGGCCTGGTGCAGCGGCGCACCGAGGCCTCCCGCAACGCCGCCGACAAGGAGCGGGCGGCGGGCGGCGGCGCCGGCAGCAGCGAGGACGACGCGCAGAGCCGCCGCGACGAGCAGGACGACGACGACAAGGGCGACTCCAAGGAAACGCGGCTCACCCTGATGGAGGAGGTGCTCCTGCTGGGCCTCAAGGACCGCGAGGTGCGGACGCGGCGGGCAGGGCGGGGGGAGGCGGCGCGGGGCCCGGGCGCCAGGTGAGCTCCAGGTAGGTGCCAGGTGAGCGCCCGAGGCTTCCGGCCTGCGCACCTGCCCTCGCTCCGGAGCCCGCGCCCGGTGGCGCCCAGCTGACCCTGAGCAGTGTCGGAGTTTGTTGACCCCCTGCGCGGCCGGTGCTTTCCGGATCCTCCCAGTAGAGATGGCTTGGATTTTTCCTTACCCTTTTCACAGTCGCTCCTTTCATTTCGACACCCTGGCAGTTTGTATTTCTTCGTCGCCTTTTTCCGCGTTTTTAACCCGTGTAGACCCCAGGGTGCAAATCCAACCCGGAGACTGCCCGGGAAACAAACAGCTGGCGCCACCAGCGCCACGAACTCTTGGGTTTTTGCAGGTTTTAGGACCTGGGAGGGGTGCCCGGATCTGCTTGCTGCGGGATTTTCTTCTTCAGTTAAGGCTTACTGTTGGGAATTAGGAAAAACGTAGGCGAAGTGGTAATAGAGGGAAAAGCTCTTTTACTGAGTAAAGTTAAGTCAAAATTCTCATGAAAACTCCTGGCAAATGACTTTCTAGGTGAACTTGACTTGGGTTAGAGATTATTTTTAGCATAGCTTTTATATTTTATCAGTTGATTAATCTCAAAGTCTTGCCGTCTTAAGAAAGGATTTTTTCATCGAATGCTTGAAATGTGGGTTTGTGAGTTGATGAAAGGCCTCAGATTTTCAGGTGGGTTGAAGTTGCAATAGATATTTCTTTGCATTCTGACTTTGAAAGCATTTATTTTCACTTCAGTGTCCAAAATTTTCACATACAGAAAAGTTGAAAAAGTGATAGATATATATGCATATATACTCTTTCCTAGATTCTATAACGTTCTGCTGTATTTGTTACATTTGCCTAAGAAATGATTATTTGTTTATTTTGAGACGGAGTTTCGCTTTTATTGCCCAAGCTCCTGGAGTGCAATGCCGCGGTCCGAAACCTCCGCCTCCCCGGTTCAAGCGATTCTTCTGCCTCAGCCTCCTGAGTAACTGGGATTACAGGCATGCGCCACCATGCCAGGCTAATTTTGTATTTTTGTTTTGTTTTGTTTTGAGACGGAGTCTCACTCTGTCGCCCAGGCTGGAGTGCAGTGGTGCGGTCTCCACTCACTGCAACCTCTGCCTCCCGGATTCAAGCGATTCTCCTGCCTCAGCCTCCCGAATAGCTGGGATTACAGGCGTGCGACGCCACGCCCAGCTAATTTTCATACCTTTAGTAGAGATGGGGTTTCACCATGTTGGCCAGGATGGTCTTGATCTCTTGACCTAGTCAGCCGCCCGCCTCGGCCTTCCGAAGTGCTGGGATTACAGGCTTGAGCCTCCGCGCTCAGACCTGATTTTAAGAAAGTTTTCCAAATTTAGGAAGGTGGGCAAAAAAAAAAAAAAAAAGTCTTACAAAACAATGTAATCTTTCTTGGTCACTGAAACTTATTAGATAGAGGCAAGTTTTATATGGACTGTTTATGGACCCTTGTTATTTAGAAATCTAATGAACTAAAGGTTAGCTTGATAGATACGTGTAGGGCATCTGTCATATCTTGGCTTCCCATTTCTCAGGTTTTAATAACAGTAACCTTGAAAAAAGTTGATATTCCTCTGGCTGTGAAAGGGGTGCTGTACCTGTTTATTGAGTTGTGATGATAAAGCAGGCTGTATGTGCAATTTCTTGTTGTTTGGATGAAAAAGGTAAACTAGGTGTATAGTGTCCTACTAATGTACTTTTTAGAAAATGTTCAACTTTAGGCTTCAAAATTTGGAATCTTGATTATAAACGTTTGTCTTTTTTTTTTTTCTTTCTTTTCTTAGACGGAATCTTGCTCTGTCGCCCAGGCTGGAGTGCAGTGGCGGCATCTGGGCTCACTGCAACCTCCCCCTCCCGGGTTCAAGCGATTCTCCTGCGCTCAGCCTCCCGATTACTGGGATTACAGGCATGCACCACCATGCCCTGCTAATGTTTGTATTTTTAGTAGAGACGGGGTTTCACCATGTTTGTCAGGCTGCTCTTGAACTTCTGACCTCAAGTGATCCACTCGCCTCGGCCTCCCAAAGTGCTGAGATTACAGGTGTGAGCCACCACGCCCGACCATAAACATTTTTCTTTTTGGACAAAAATAACGTAGACATTTTAGAAAATGCAAAAAAAAAAAAAAAAAAAGCAAAATTAAAACATATTCCTGAGTGAACATTTTGGTTTATAGTTTTTGAGACTTTTCTGTGTGGATAAAACTCGGTGGAAAACAAAAACCTAAAAAAAAAAAAAACTAAAAAATAAGCTTTTAGTGTTCTGAGTCACACTGAGAAATTATAGTGAGAAAGTACCTATTTGTTTTTTGAAGTACATGTTTCTCTAAATCATGCTTGTCCAATCCGCGGGCCAAATGTGGCCCAGGATGGCTTTAAATATGGCCTAACATAAATTGGTAAACTTTCCTAAAACATTATGAGATTTTTTTGCAATTTTTTTTTTTTTTTTTTTAAAGCTCATCAGCTATTGCTAGTGTTAGTGTATTTTATGTGTGACCCAGGGAAGCCAAAAGTTTGGACACCCTTGCTCTAAATGTTTAAGGTAAAGCATATTAACATGCTGTTTTTTGGTGATTGGTTCTCAAGAAGATAATCTAAATAAATTTTTGAAGTTTAACCGTACTCACGTAATTTAAACAATTTAAAGTTCTTTGGCAGGTAATTGAAACCATGTGTTACGTTTATTTTGGTCAAGAGTCACTCATTATACTTTGCTAGTCATGGCTAAGGTCCAGACGCTTGCTAGCTAATTGTGAGCATTTTTTCCTGATTTCAACAACCACACAGGGAAATTTTTTCTCTTTTTTTGTAAGCAAGTCCAGAGAGTTGAGGGGTGGGGTTGAGACAACTGGATTTTGTATTGCTTTAGGTTTTGGTTTTAGGGATTAGCCTATATATTTTTTCCTTTCATCACATCTTAAAATTTTTTTTTTTTTTTTAAGAGATGGAGGTCTTGAGATGTCGCCCAGGCTGCACTCAAACTCCTAGGCTCAAGTGATCCGCCCTGAGTAGCTGGGACTACAAGGTGCATGCCATCAAGCCAACTCATCATGTATTTACACTTTAATAACCAGCCCTGTCACTTTATTCATATGTTTTTCCCTTGGGAGGCTCCCCACCATGTCTTTAACTTATAGTACTCTTTTTAGGAAGCAGGAATTGCTCTCTTACTGTGAACCTAGGCGTTTATGCTAACTCATTGCTTTAACTGATTTTTACTTAGCATTCATCTTTTTAATGTGTGGATTCTCTTAAGACCTTTAAAAGCTAAACTTTACATTTAAGCAAATCATTAATGTTGGAAATATTTTATATACGTGAGCTAATAACCTTATCCGAATATACTTGTTAAACCAGTATCTAGAGCAAGAAACAGAAGCCCTAGCCCTCTACTTGAATTTCTTTCCAGTCACTACCCATTCCTCAGGTGTAACCACTGGCTTAATATTAGAATTCAGCATAGATTAATTTTGCCTAGTTTTTTGTACTTTGTGTCTGATTTTTGTTCAACGTGAGATTCATCCATATCATGTGAGGTTGTCCTTTGTTCTTATTGTCTTACCAATTTATTTTTTAACATGTTTATAATCTATAATATTTAAAAAATTACTTTGACATATTCTGAGTCAAGTCTCCCTCTCCTTTTTACTGAACAGAAGGTTCAGTTTTCGAATAAGCAGATGGTCTGGCTTCAGATTACCTATTAGGGGTGAGTCTAGAGTCATTGTGATTCATTATTTTTTTTCTTTAAGTACACATTTCAGATTTTTTTTTAACCAGTGATACTACTTTTTTGCTTTTATAAAACAGGGATGCCTAGGCCCCTCAGAGGATTCTCATGCTCACTTGGGCAGAGACTCAGTGCATAGGTATTTAAGTAGCTCTTTAAAGGCCACAGTAAGGATGACAGATAGTTTACACCTAAATTCAACTGCCAGGTAATTAGCAGTATTTCTCTAATTGCCCCAGTGTTTGAGGGGAAGGGGCAGCAAAAGTGCCAGGTATTTTCCTTTCCCTGTGTGTGTTTATCCCATAGATGCTTTCCATAGAATATTTTCAGGATGCTTCGTTGAGAATTACCACAAATAACTGGTGTCATATACGTTCGAATGTCTTCATTGGTGGCAACCTTAGTGTTTTAAGGTTAGATTTAATTATTTTTAGTGGCCAAGTATAATTTGGAGTTTGCCTGTCAATAGCAGAAGCAGAGAGAGGCTCTATAGTCCTGTCCAAGGTGTATTCTTTGGCTTTTACATATAATTTAAGCTTTCTGAGCTTCAGTGTTTTCGTGTATAATGGAAAAATAGTCATCCCACATGGTGATTCTGATTGTACTGCTGTGGACATTTATTAACTCCTCCCCAGGTCTTTGCCCTGTTTTGTATTACTTTAGGGTTTCCCCATAGTGTGCTGCCTTTTTTTGAGACAAGGTCTTGCTCTGTTACCCAGGCTGGAGTGCAGTGGTGCGATCTCGGCTAACTGCAACCTCAACCTCCTGGGCTAAAGTGCCTGCCTCAGCCTCCCGAGGAGCTAGGACCACAGGCACACACCACCATGCCCAGCTAATAAAAAAAAAAATCGTTTTTTATAAACACAGGGATTTGGCCACATGGCTCAGGCTGGTCTTGAACTCCTGGGCTCAAGTGATCCTCCCCCTTCAGCCTCCCAAAGTGCTGGTATTAAAAGCACGAGCCACCGAA